TCAGGAGTTATTGAAATATATATATGTCTCGAGCCAGGACAAGAGTCAGACAGGGTGAGAAGAAGGAACTCAGAGATAATCCAAAGACACAGTGAATAATTATATTTGATGATAGCCAAGTGGTGAAACAAAGGTATAAGCCGAGTTGGTGAAAAAAGAAATTTGATAGATCTGATAGAGTAGAAGTATGGTAAAAGTAAGTTGTTGAAGTAATATGTGATATAGATAAATTAGAATAATACTATATGAATAAATACTTAAAAATAATAATAAAACCCAGATACAGTTTATGCACTTTTTATTCTAACTACAGAAACAGGTTAAAATTGTTCTTTTCAATAGGTTTTTGGTCTCAGCTACCTGATTGTGGGCAACTATATTAGGCAATTCTATTTACATAAGGAGAAATATTTTTGTTCTTCCACTCATATATCTAGAAACTAGATTAACTGGCCTTTCAAATTGTTTGAAAGGGTTGTAACTAGTTCTCTGTTTGCCCCTGTTAGTGTTATGTATTTATCCAACTAATTTGTATTGAGATTTCTTTCTGGGTCATGTAGACAGAAAAACCTCTGTTTTGCTGAGATTCAAATGATTCAATAAACAGGTCTTTGTTGATTAATCTGCTGCTGAAATTACGCTCTTTAGTTTTTGTTCATGTATGTGCAAGATAATAATGGAAACTTACTTTGATATATTCTATACAAATGATTAATCAGAAGTCGCATCATGAGACAATAGTAGTATATCATTGCAGAAGTTAAAAGCACTTGATCTCAAACTCATACAAATTATATTTAAACACATTATTGAATCAAAATCTACTATAATAAACTCCCAGTTTAATACACCTTGGTTTATTGATTTCAGCTACACAGACAATTTTTTAGTATTTTTTAAACAACCTACATTAATACAAAGTCCACTGCATTCAAATTAGTCCAGCTAATTTTAAAATAATATTGATTCCATATACACTTCTAGTTTATTTTGGAACTTCGGATAAGTTGTACCAGTATAATAAGTTAAACAGAGCTTTATTTAATTTTACTAGAATATATATGTGCTTAGATATCAATTTCAATCCAATAAGTAATTTTATTTATTTATTTATTTATTTATTTATTTATTTATTTATTTATTTATTTATTTAATTTTTATACTGCCCTTCTCCCGAAGGACTCAAGGCGGTGAACAGTTAAAATACCATACATAATATGGTAGTTCTCTGATTCTTAATGTAGCTCTCCAGATCAGAATCCAAGTGTGCAGTAAAATTCGTAGGAACTGTTCTCTGTTGAAAACCTAGCATTCTTTTGTAGGTTTGTTGCAGTCGTGATGATTTTATTTTATGTTATTCTGTATAATCAAAACCAAGAATAAATATAGTAAGATAAAATGTAGGCCACGTTGGGTTTTTCCCCTGATTTTTTTGCCCTGCAGTTGCCAACTAAATTCAAGCCATTTTCTAACTTGAACTTTTTTGTTGTTAGCTTTTGCTCTCACACCAAATTCTGCTGACAGAAAGACAGATGGACAGAGCCCAAATCCATTTACATAATTTCTTTATGAAGGTCCATTGGTCTGGAAAAAAATAAAAAGGAGCAGAGAGCAGGTTTGAACTATTAAAGTCTGTCAGCAGGATAACTTTCCTAGAACAGAACAAAACAGGACTTTATTTTGTACAGCAGAAGTCAACAAAAGAAAAGTGGGCCATATCTGGTTTTAAGATGTATTCTTTTTTGTTCATTATATGACCCATAGCCTAAATTGGGCCATTATGATAAACCTCTTGATTTGGCATATCATTCAAACAACGTCATAATAAGTCTAAGAATGAAAATGAGAAGTTTTCTTAAATATTTTAGAGAATCGGTTTGGGGATAATCGTGAGAATATGAAATAATAGAACAGGTAATTAAACCAAGTGAATGTTCTGCTCAGTTAGGAATTCAAATTAAATCTGCTTAAACACATCCAATAAAAGAAAGTTGACTATCTCTGTGAGTAATTAGTTCTACTGCTGAACTGCCCTTATGGAACATATGTTTTCCTAACATATTCAATAGGAATATGTTGATGGAAACTGCTAGATAGAATTTAGTGTGTGAACCTCGGTAAACTTGAATTGGATGAACAATTTCAATTCTGTTTCATACTTTTTGGGCTAAAGAATTAATTTCTCTCAAATTAATTTTCAGGTTAGTAAATATAGATATATAAAATGTTAGCATTATTTGGAAGAAAAGTTTTAAAATGTATGATATTAAATAACCGACTGTGGTGTCCCCAGTTGGTATAGGCACACTGGGTGCCATACCCAAAAAAATCTTGATATTATCTTAGAAAAGATTGTGCGGAATCTTAGAACTGCACATTGACAAAATTTCCACCAGTCAATTGCAAAAGGCCATAATGCTTAGATCCATGCATATAGTGCACTGATACATTACAACATCCTAGGTTCTAAGGAAGAAACTCGATGCGTCTGAAGGCTAACATGAACTAAAGAACTCATAGCTGTGACTTCACATTGTTGTGAACAGATAATAATTTATTAAATTTGTATGACACCTGACTGGCTGTTGATGGTTCATGAGAATCAAAGAAATTACAGTAAAATCAATATAATATAAAAAAATGAAAGACAGAAAGTGCAATGAGATTTGGAGTATCACTCTCCCTTGCCAAAGGCTTTTATACTTCTTCTAAACAGCAGCAGAATGGGTGGCCATCTGAATCTCGTTCTAGACAGCAGGTGCTGCTGCCGAAAAGGTGTGCTTCTGAGCTTTTGAGAGCTGATGTTGTCTAATAAAAAACCCGTAGCACGTCAACTTTTCAGGATTGACTCAGCTGGACAGATGTTGTGGTAGGCGGATGATATTGGAAACTAGAACAGTCACCCAACAATCAAGGAAATCTAGGAGTTTAAGTTCAGATAAATCAATTTTAAGGATTTTGAATACATTTTAATGGAAAGTGCTGATGTTTTCCTTTTCCAGTAACATTACATTTAAGATATTTTTACAAGTACAGGTTTAAAAGAATATAAACTTTTAAACTTGGAATAGTATTTTTCCCTTTCCCTTGTAATATGTAGTGTTTTTTTTTTAAAGATACTTTAAATAGTTCAAAAATGTCTGATGATGTGCATTTTGCAGAAAACAATACTGTAACAAATCACTAATCAACTAAGTACTATAATCCTCCTTATCGGGTAATACTTACTTGACCTCCAGCTATATACAGCACATCACAACAGTATTAAACTGTAGCTCCTATCTCATATTCTCTGTAACTTTTCTTCTAGATCACAATTCAGATTAGAGACTAGTAATTTTTAAAACCTATATTTGTTCCCTTCAAATGTTCATTAATTTGTATTTAAAGTAGGGAACTTATATGAAAAAGCTATTTTGGGCTCCTAAAACAAATGAAATTGTATATGGTATCCTCAAATCTATCAGGATTTAGTGAAGCCATAAGGTGCCCAGAAATTGATATTCCTGATTTCCCAGATGTGCAGTGGCTGATCAACAGGTAAAGAAAGACCTTTGTATATTACTATGAAACTAATAAAGTCTTGTATAGCCAGAGAAGAATATTTAAGGAAACAATTTGTTAAAAGGAAATGCATGCCTAACTGTTTTATATTTTAGCAAGTATATTCTCAGAATTCATGATTTTAAAGAGTGTTACTGTGACCTGTCTATCTCCTTTACAGTCAGAATTTTGAAAATACATTTGATATTCACTTAATAGAAACAACATACTGTACTTAAAATATGATTTGCTTTCCTTGTATTGTACTTGATAAATGCCAAGAAAAGGATGCCTAGTAGAATACTCTGTATTTTCTAAGAATCAAAAAAGGATTCAAATGTATATGCTTAGTCTTATTATATTACAAATGATATCTGAAATTTCAGTGGGTCTATTTGAAATGTGACTAAGTTGGTATTCAATTCTCTTTTCTAAGATCATTTTATCAATTAGTATATTCCATTACAAAATATATAACATCTCTTTTTATATAATGAGTAGTTGATAGTTAGACGATAGTTAGAGAAGTTAGATGAGAGTCTTGTAATTTTTTTCCCCTTTGAAACAAAGTAGTTTATTATCCTAGGTTATATTTTGATAACAGGATAGGATGGCATAATAATAATAACATAATATTTTTTGTAAAATATAGCTTACAAAATTTTCAAGAGATTAATGAGATGGATTACATTTAATAGAGATCACTGTATAGTTCCAATGGGATTTTAATTAGATTTAAATGCATTTTAAGTGCATTTTAGGGACTAAAGTTTTCATATCTGCTTTTACGGTTGGTCATTATTATTATTAGTTTCATGGACATCAGTTTAATTCCGGATTACTTTTTTGAAATGTAATGTGAAAAAACTTGAAATGTATGCTTTGAATTTTTTGTAAAACTGAGTGAAAAAACAGTAGTTAAATATAGTTGGAATTTCCCAAAATCTATTTGTTTATTCAGTTTTCTTTGCGTTACTTTATTGCATCTAGTATTAGTCTGAAGTATTTAGAACATAATTTTATGCTGCAAGCAAATATTTTAAAATTTATACTTTGGAAAGATACAATTTGATAAAGGCAAAATATGTGGAAGAAAGATTCCTTAATCTATGCAGCATTTTACATATGCTAACATATAAGTACTGTATAACAATGCACATTACCTCTATTTCCTTGTGGATGTAAATAATGACATTTGAATCTGCTGTCTATACTTTGGATACTACATTTTATTAATAAGTATTGCAAAATTGTATAAAGATGGCATACACAATCCTTAAGTATTTGACTTTGTAGAACTTAAACTAACATTCATCTATTGGAGTTGTTATGAATAGTTAGATTATGTATAGCAAGCAACACATTATTGTAGCTCAATCATTTGGAATAAATATTTTCTGAATTAATTTGCAATAGATACATGTTTAGTAAATTTTCTTTTTTTTAAAATTGCTTAGAAAAAGAAGCCCATCAATACCCAGAGATCAGAACAGAAGTTTCAATCAGCTGGAGGAGAGAGACGACTATTCACAGTATGCAACATCAGATGCTGCAATGCCAAGATCACCATCAGATTATACAGACAGACATTCACAACATGGGTTGCAACAATATGAAGAACCTGAAATGGATGACTATAGGGATTCTAGCAGGAGAAATCGCAGACGTTCAAGGGAATATCCTTTAGAGGAAGATGACATGCAAAATAGAGGGGAATATGAAAGGCAGCGGAGGGAAGAAGAATATCAAGCACGATATCGAAGTGATCCTAATTTGGCTCGTTATCCTGTCAAACCCCAACCATATGAAGAGCAAATGCGCATTCATGCTGAAGTCTCGCGTGCACGTCATGAAAGAAGGCACAGTGATGTGTCTTTGGCCAATACTGAATTGGAAGATTCCCGGATTTCGATGATGAGAATGGACCGACCATCAAGGCAAAGGTCTGCCTCTGAACGCAGAGCTGCCATGGACCAACGTTCGTATTCAATGGAAAGGACTCAGGGACTAAGTCCCAATAGGCAGAGAACCGCAAATCACAGTCCTCCAACACCTAGGAGGAGTCCAATACCTTTTGATAGACCAGATATGAGGAGAACTGATCCATTAAGAAAACAGCATCATTTAGACCCAAGCTCAGCGGTACGGAAGACAAAACGTGAAAAAATGGAAACCATGTTAAGAAATGATTCGTTGAGTTCAGATCAGTCTGAATCAGTTAGGCCTCCACCACCAAAGCCTCATAAAACAAAAAAAGGAGGTAAAATGCGTCAGGTGTCATTGAGCAGCTCTGAAGAAGAGTTGGCTTCTACACCAGAATATACAAGCTGTGATGATGTAGAAATTGAAAGTGAAAGTGTTAGTGAAAAAGGTAAGGCCTTTTTTTCTGTTTGCCTTTTAAGTAGAGGGCAATTTATTTTAAGTGCGGGATTTGAAATTACAGTAGGAGTACATGGTTACTGTGAGGTTACGTTCTTCATGCTGATACTTTAAAATGTGGTTTGTTTAATTTCAGTTGAGCTTTACAAATGAATTTTGTGTATCTTCTCTTTTTTAAATAGTTTTAAATCTACATGAATCCAGTAGTCGATAGAATATTTTAGTTTTTATTTGTTTTTTTATAAACATGGTTTTCAGGGCAAAAGTTGAATGAAACTATAGATTAGCTCTTATTTTTCTGACTAACTAGTTTAAAACCAAGCGCACAGAACCAGCTGGAGTAAGTGGATAGCACTGAATTGTGTCAAGATAGAGGCTGTTTATTGGGTTTTTTTGACTGCTTTCACATACATACAAAACACAAAAACCTATTATTTTTATTATGGCAAAAATCCCAATTTCTGTATTATGGTATATTATTTTTGTATTATTCTGTTTTATGGTGGATCTTATAGCAACGTCAGGAAGATCAATTTGAGTTAATAAAATAGAATCGGGGAAAGGCTTAAACACCTTTTCCACACTAATATTCATGTCCTGATACAGTTCAACCTAACCCCAGGGGCAGCTTTAAGGTTTTAAAAATCAAGAGATTTAATTATCCCATGTTATATGTAATTAAAACAGTGCAATACAAAAATAAACATTTAATTAAAAAAAATCTACTGATCTTTTGTGCATTAATAACTGATAAGAATTTGCTAAAATTAGTGAAGTTGACAGATTGAAAATAATAAACTGCAGCTATTGATAGTTCTAGATTTCATCTGTCTCTGTAGGAAATTTTATGCTTTTAAATGTGACATTTGAATGCAGTGATATCAAACTCCTGCAGGGTAAGTGAAGTATTTGTGCAAAGTGTAATTCTGTAACACGGTATATTAGAATATAGTATAGTGAACTTAGTGGGTTTTTTCCATTAAAACCTCATATTATTACTATTCTTAAAATATTACACTTTGAGCTTTACATGCAAATAATCTAGGACAATTGGTTCTTTGAATCTTAACAAGGTACTGTAATTGGAGCTTTTTTTCTCTCCTGTCAAGCTTTAGCTATTATAAGGATTTAAACTTTCAGAACTATAGAGTTAAATTATTAAAACATTAAATATTTACACTAGTTTTATGAGTTGTATCGCTAGATTTATGTTTTATATTTATACCAGGAACCTAAATATGTTTACTTGAAAATAAAAATATTTATCTCCTTATAAGTGTTCTTTGGACTGCAACCTTTACCTTACAATCATATGTCTTCTGTGTTCCTGTTTTGAAGAAATATATTTGTGGTATAAAGGAAAAAAGAGTGAAAATTTGACTCTTTATAAATTATTGCTGCTCTCTTCAATATTTTACTTTTGACCTGTAATACAGGACTACAAGCATTTACATTTTCCAAAAATGGTACTCTAAGAGCACACGTACATTTATTTCCTCAATGAACAAACTCAGAATGTACAGCGGAAAGTCACTTCTGGTGAGAAATGGTGAACTGATGTTCCATGAAGAGCAGGAAACATTACAGTTGAAAACAGCACTCGGGTGCAGGAGCTGGACTGCTGAAGCCTCTCTGGAGAAAGGAGAGATCTAGAAATCACCCATATGCACTCCAAACAGCTGGGTTTTTTTGTGTGTGTGGAGTAGATAGGAATTGAGATTTTTATGGTCAGCTTGGAAAAAGCTGGGATTCATAGAATTCCATCAAGCTTATAGTTTTCAATATAGCCTAAATGGACTTTAAATTCAACCAAACCTCACAATCTTAATTACTTTGTATATCTTTTTACTGTTCTACAAAGATTGAGAAATTTCAGAATTAGAGGTTTTACTGTATTCACCAGTTAAGCCTTTAATCTTCTAAGAAAAAAGTTTTAATGACTTAATTACTAGTTGAAGGTTTTGAAAAAGAAGAAAAAAATGGAATATTCTGCAAATTGGTGATTGGAATGTTAATTTTAGAAAGCTTTAAATGGACTAAGGGCTCAGATAGATTTGAATTAAGACTTGGAAATTAATTAAATCCTCCCTGTGAAAAACTTCCCATGTTTACATTTGGGAACAAAAACAACCTGATAAGATGACTAGAAGGCACCAGAAGGAAACAAATACATCTGTGGATCCAATGAAGAAGAACAATTATTGAATTCAGAAAATAATTTTAAAGATATCTGCTATTATACCATGTTTCCTCAAAAATAAGACATGTCCGGATAATAAGCTCAATCAGGCTTTTCAGCGCATTTTCCCGCTGTTTCCTCTGGTTGCTTGCTGCGCAACCAAAATGAGTTGAGGAGGCGAGGAGGGAAGGGGGGACATGTCCTCCCCTCCCTGTTCTTCGTGCCGGCTGAGCGGCCCAACATGTCCCACCCCACCCCAATGGCAACAGCTGCTTCTCTTCCCCGCCATCTCTTTATCGAGAGGGGTGGCAGGTGGGGCGGGGGAAAAGCAAGACACGTGGAGCGAGACGTGGCTCCTCTTGCTGTCTCTTCTCCCCCCCTCGCTGGGCATGACAGGGTTCTTGCCCCTCCTTAGCCACCCACACCCTTTAGGGATGCAATTTGGGGGTGGCAAGTAGGGCGGGTGAGAAGTGGGACTCAGGTCTTACATTTCAAGCTCCATCGCTTTCTTCGCCGTTGTGTCCAGGGAAATACGCTGTAAAAGAAAGTCTTCTTGCGAGTTCGAGAAGTTTGATTGAACTCATAAGAAGTCTTTCTTTTACAGCGTGTTTCCCTGGACACAACAGCGAGGAAAGTGATGGAACTTGAAAGGTAAGACCTGCAACCCGCTTCTTGCCCGTCCCACCTGCCACCCCCAAATTGCATCCCTAAAGGGGCAGGTGGTTAAGCGAGGGACAGGAGACTTGTCATGCCCAGTGAGGGGGGGGGGAAAGAGATGGCAAGGGGAGACACGTCTCGCTCCACGCATCTCGCTTCTCCCCCATCCCATCTGCCACCCCTCTCAATAAAGAGATGGTAACTGTTGCCATTGGGGTGGGGTTGACGTGTTGGGCTGCTCGGCCAGTGCGAAGAACAGGGAGGGGAGGTGGCGGCAGCGACGGGACATCTAGTCCCACACTCGCCGCCTCCTGCACCCCCAAAATAATAAGACCCCTGATAATAAGGCCATGCTCTTATTTGGGAGGGAAACACGGTAGATATATTGGTTTAGTTTAGTTTTTATTATATTTGTATACTGCCCTTCTCCCGAAGGACTCAGGGCGGTGAACAGCCATGGTAAAACAACATACAAAACAAAATTTAAAAAACATATTAAAACAATTCAATCTTTGGCGAAAATAAGAACTTCCAATTAAAACCATATTAAACCATTTTAAAACGGTGTTACAGAAGAGGAACAAACTTCATTAGATAAGCTGAAATTAATTTCAGGGTGAATTTAAAACAGAAAGAGGAAATATTGGATGTACAAATAATACCAGCTGATGTTCTAACAAGTAAAAAAAGACACACAAATACTAAATCAGAAGAGCAATGTGGAGAACCTTTTTATAGCAATAGCAATTAAACATATACCGCTTTACAGTGCTTTACAGGTTTCTCTAAGTGATTAACAGAGTCAGCATATTACCCCTAACAATCTGGGTCCTTATTTTACCGACCTTGGAAGGATGGAAGGCTGAGTCAACCTTGAGCCGGTTAGGATCGAACTTCTGAATTGCTGCAGCTGACAGCAGAAGTAGCCTACAGCACTGCATTCTATCCACTGCGCCACTACGGCTCTTTTATGGGTTTTATCAAGGGGGCTTGTTAAAGTTGTCAAAGATTTTGTGAGAAGAGACAATGAGAATATGAAGAGTGACTTGGATATTTTATTTATGGTGGATATTCAAAAGGATCTTGTAAAGTTTTCAATGACTTTGAGAGAAGAAACAAAGAGAATCTGGGGTACTAAATATTGTCAGAAGAAAAAGGAAATAATACTAAGTCAATTTATTAGATCAAGGGTAAAGTTGATGGACTGTTATTTCCATTAAGGTTTAATGTTCTTTTTTTTGTTTACTAGCACTGGATGATGATGTTTTAAAGGTTTTGGTAATCCTTAAGAGATAAAGAGATTATTTGTTGCATTTTAAGTATGTGTGTTTAATAAATGCAAGGAAAGGATTTAAAGTGGGTTTATTAGATATAGAGTGTAATAGTTATGTTGTTGTTTCTGATAGCCCTTAATGGACTTCTTAATGGAGATCAGAAGTCTACTGATCAAGATGGAGTGATACTTTAATGATCTGTTTGAGGTATTTGGTACGTTCCAATGGTATTTGGAACGAAGAGATGACTTGTTGTATTTTAAGAGACTATGATGAGTTGTTAATGTTAATTATACTTGCTGGTGATGAAGGGGGAGGTTCCTTCTTTATTTTTCTTTTCTTTTGCATCTTTTCTTTTTCTTTTATCTTTTGTAGTTTATACATTTTTTCTGTATAATCTTTAATAAAATTATTGTGTAAAAAAAGAATGTGTCTTGTTACTTTTAATCCTTTTGGATCTTTCATGTTAGGATCTTCTGTTTTAGTTGAGATTTATGGACAAGATATGAAAAATAAAAGAGAAGAAAGGACTGAAATTCTGGGTTACATGCTCATCACATCATGCTTCTAAATATGTCAAATTGTAGTACAACAAACATAGATAGAATCTCTAGGTAGGTGTTCATTTCCAATCATAATGGCCCTTCACATTTTGTTGCTGGGATTGTGTTGGGAAAAGGACTGTTTTAAATATTCAAATAGGTTCAGTCTGACCTAAATCTCTAAAATCTAAATATATCTTCTGCTGAACCAAAAGTGTCTTTATCCATGATGGTATCATTCATAAAATGTAAAAACTTTAACCAAGTTTCATGGCTAAAGGAAGCTTAGAATTCACAGTTTCCAGGTTTTCAGGTCAGCATTTTAACCACTGCATGGAAG